TTATCTGCAGCCTGTCTAGTTCAGCAGAATGGGATCTCACAACAGACGGTGCTGATTGTTTTACAAATATTTAGTGTTTAACTAGAGAATAAAATGTTTTTCTTACCCTGGTAGATTAGCATACTAATCTGTATCACTTGTCAGCCACAACAAAACCCAGTATTAATTGATCCATATTGGAGGATAAGCTCATTTTTCATCTACTTTTGCAGCGTAACACATTAAACTTTGACTCTAAACGGTCTGTTCTTGATGCGAGTTTATTTGTGGAGCGCTCACTCTAACCTGTAGGATCAGTCACAACCTAAAGCTGTTTTCATATACTAACAAATATTTTCAGGAGGCCGGGCAATAATCCAGTCCAAGTGTTTTCTGCAGCTCCTCCTAAATGTTGGGTTGTTTGTGTTCTTCAGCAGATTTTCCATGTTGTGCTCTCACAGCCTGAAATGTACAGCAGCTAATGCTTTTCTTCTGCCAACAGAGTATAGGAGACAGAAATGCAATGTAAATATTTTATCTTTGTCCTACAATTAGTAGAAGCGCAACCCTTCAAACTGCTTGAATACTGAATATTGTATTTATTAAATTGACACAAACACAGATAAGCGGTAATAGAATAAATTGATTTTTTTTTTTTCTAAAAATTTTGGATCAAGTTCTTCAAACTATTTGAAACTCTAATAACATTGCATTCATAATAAGCTACTGTGTGGTTCACTAGTTTGTTTGTAGATAAATAAAATAGGAGGTTCTTTTGGCTTCACTCGGATGATTTGATTTAATGACGATCTGTAAGCTTAGTGTTTTTCCCCTCAATGTGAAGACAGTTCGTTACAAGAAAAATGTCTAATTAGATGATAAATTGTCTTTTTCAAAGACTAATGTGCTTTTACTAGTTGTTTTTTTAGCTAAAGTAAATCAGGCAAAATTGAAGTATTTTGTTTTAAAACTTGGATTTCAGCACATACTCTTTTTATTTATATATATTTTTTATTATTTTTTTAGGCCTATAATTTAGGATTACTGTCACATTTTGGATCTTTATTATGTTCTTTGGTTTTCACCTTTGAAGTTAATTTTCTGTCATTTTGCCAAATAAATAAATAAATTTTGGTATAAGTAATGTGGTCATTTTGAGTAGACATTTATTCATTTAAAAACATTTAATGCAGGAAGAGTTCGTGCTCAATAATCCAGGTAAAAAAAATTCAACCAAGTTCAGTTATGTCATCTGAATAGTTTATTTTTTTGTTGAGACGTTTTGTCCTTCATCCAAAGGACTTCATCAGTCCAAGGAGCCACAACAAAGTCAGTCCCACAAGCAGCACACTCACACAGTGGGCCAATCAATTTACTGGTGATAAGATGGTTTCTGGGGCCCGCTCTCTCCCCCGTCAACTCCTTTGAGGCAGCCATAGCCAAAGTGGTTCAAAACATCGAAGTTCATGCTCAATATCATCAAAGTTCAGTCAGTTCATCTGGACGGTTTCTTTTTTTGTTGAGATGTTTCATCCTGACCTTTGATGTTTTTGAACTACTTTGGCTATGACTGCCTCGGAGGAGTCGATGGCGGAGAGGGAGGGCCCCAGAAACCATCTTATCACCAGTAAACTGGTTGGCCTACTATGTGAGAGTTTTACTTATGGGACTGAGTTTGTTGTGGCTCCTCGGACTGATGAAGTCCTTTGGATGAAGGACGAAACGTCTCAACAAAAAAAGAAACCATCCAGATGACCTGACTGAACTTTGTTGGATTAATCCGGTAAGGCGCTGGAAAATCTGTTCAGTGCTTTTAACATGCAGTTGTGTCTTTTAAGTTTCTCGAGCGTCGATCTGGTCACAAGTTTGACAAATTACCTTTTGATTCTGAATTCTTGTAAATGTATTAAATGAATGTAAAATGGCGTTGTACCTGCTCCATCACTGAAAAATCGATTTGTAATTGCTCTGGTGAAATTAACAATCACTCTCTGTCCTCCCTCTCGCTTCGTCGTGCCTCTTCTCGTTTTCAAAGAAACGCAGCGAACTTGTAATGGAGGGTGTTGGTCAACAATGCGCTTCAGGGCTGAGACTGGAGAGTTGTGTAAATGTGTGATTGGATAATTTAGTCAATAATACCAACAATTTTAGCATCGTCCGTTGTCTGTGGGTCAATATGTGATTCACAGAATGCATTACACTCCTGCGCTTAATGGGGAATGGATTTCATTTAAATGCTTCTTTAGTCAAGGCCTTTACCTCATCCCAGAGTCAATATGAGTGTGAATGTTAAGATAACGTGCTTTCAAATTGGAATCCAGCTTTTTAATTGCCATTACTTATAAACTGTGGCATTCTTTACATTGTAAATATTGAGACAATTGGTTAATGTTTAAGTAAAATACTTCTATACTAGCTATGTTATAAACACGTACTTATATTTGTGTTTTTATATTTTTGAGTGTAGAAGCAGTGAACATGAATTATGACGTGCCACACTTCAGTGTACTTCACTTTAAGGACATGCAGTTGAACTTCATAGCTCCATTCTTAACACCACGGTGCTGTTTCCCTCTGGGTTTGAGGCTGAAGGCCTTAAGTGCTCATAAGGTACATCAGACCTGTTAGGAGGGGTTACTGAGGGTGGGGTGGAGGGGGACCCCAGACTGAACGTCTTTAATATTACATGTTGGCACAGTGGTGCTTTGTAGCCTCCCCTTGGTTCCAAGCTTGAGTTTGGCTCAATGTGTCTTGTCGCGTACAGCTGTAGGTGTTTAGGAGAGTTCTTGTGGGTTTTGGCGGTCGGTGTTGTCCAATGTGGCGATGGAAGAGGCGTGCTGTAGGTTTTCTTTGTGTCGCAGGAGGACATCTTGCATCACACTGACTCCGCCCCGATCCAAACCGGTAAGACTTGAGAATTAAAGATCGTTGGTCTTTTCATGTTTAGATCACCTGGTGCAGCAGGGGTGAAACGTTAGCTGCCCTGCTTTTAGCAAACCATTTTAATAATAAATCACGTTTTACTGGTAACCATTGTGCTGCAGTGTAAACAAAATAAATATAAAACAGACTTCCTCAAATGTTTTATAATATATTAGGAATAGACAGCCAGTCTTTGCGAACTGGTAAATGCACAATTAAAACTGTAAAGATGGGGAGTATATATTAGTGTAACTCTACAAATGTTCAAGCAAAATACAGATTTTGTTGAATGTTTACCATAATCCTAAATGTCTATCTCAGTCTTGTTCTGTCGTCTAGGCTTAGTTTCATCAGTAGTTAGTTTACACTGCTTCTTACAGTGTAGATGTTTATGAACGTATCTTTCTGTTTACCTCCCTTTTTTATATATATATATTCCTACAGATACATATAATCATCTGTTATACATTTGAAAACAATAGCACAATGTTTCTTGCTGGAGTTTGTGAGAATTACGTCCTAAATGTGGTTAGAAAGTTAAAGAGCAAAAAGTCAACCGATGGATTTGATGTGTCACTTATTAAAGATGTAATGATTGATTTACATATACTTTAATTTTCACTAATAGTGCCATATCCTATAGTGTGGATGTTTTGGGTAATGCATATAAAACTAATAGACTCCATAATTAAATTTCAGAAAAGAGTAATTAGATTAATGAATAATGGTTTTTTTTTTATGTTTTAAAATTCAGAGATGTGTGTTTAAGGACACTGGAAATATTGTCAGGTTAGAAAAAAAGGGTCTTCCTGCCTGTATTCAAAGTTGTTGGTTTTTTTAAGTTAAGGGAAAGTATAACCTAAAGGGGTCCTTTATATTTGAAATAAGCAAAGAAATAATGTCAATTACAGATGTCTTTCAGTTTTGGTTATTAAGCTGTGGAATAATTTAAGTGGGGAAATTAAGTTTAATAGCTCTCTCAAGTTTTTTTTAGAAATAAATTTAAATTTAAGTTAATGAAGAGTTTTAGTTTATAGTAATAAAAGTTGTGATGATAACAATAGTAACACATGCTTGTTTAGTGTTTGTAATAATAATAGTAATGGAAAATAATAATTTTGTTTATATCTATACAAATCCGCATTTATAGAGTGTTTATCATCATTATGGTATATTATATTACATTATATTATTATATTGAACACTGATGTTCAGTTTGCTCTTCTTTTGTACATGTGTGGTTGTTTTTTTAATTATTTTTTGGGGAATCCATGAGAAAATGAACGGAGAGGCATAATAAGCCTTTAGCTTCTGCCTATTCCTTTTTGGTCGTAAAGTGTTTGCTTGTTTATTTGTTTGCTTGTTTGAAACTTCTTTTTGACATACCATAAAAACCATTCATTCATTCATTCAAGTTATTGAGTCTACAGATTCAGTTTTGTTTTTAATTTATTTAAAAACATAAAGGGTTGTCTTCTTTGAGAACCTCAGAGATTTATTGCCCGTGCTTTTAAAAGTGATTTGAAGGCTTACGTGTTGAATCTGGATTGGTGTGTGAATGAGCTCCCTGCAGTTCAGATTTTAAAGTGCCGATTTTCAGAAACTGCGATTACAAAAGCAGAAAGCTGTAGATTCCGTTTGTATTGATATTGTATTTATTGACTCTGTGCAAACGGTCTTCTAATCTAAAAGTTTAAAATGGAGACATGAGCAGATTTGTTCACGGAGTTCATTTTGTTTGTAGTCACTTGGTGATATGTGTTGAAACTGGATCATTCAGTAACGTTAGGTTGTTGTTTGTGTAATGAAGAAACCAGGACTTAACGTGTTATCACCTCCCACCTTCGCTGTCCACCAGAACTCATATGAGTCTTCACTGTCGGATCATAATTTACAGCCATCCGAAACATTTTCTGCTCTAACCTCTTCGGGTTAATTATCTTGGAGGACAGCTTGTCAAACAGTGCCAAACCAGCTTTGGCTTTCAGGCTGATGAAGTTATGTGTGTGTGTGTGTTTTCTTTGATGTGCAGTGAGTGTGAGAAAGTGTTTCTCTTTTATCTCATATCCTGTTTGGTGTCTGTGTTTTTGTCTGAACAGCTTCCGGCTGACCTCAATAAGATGCACCTAACAGACCACGCCCACCAGCAGGTGACACACTTGGCTCCTAGCCAATCAGGTTGCAGCATCACCAGTGATTCAGGAAGTAGCAGCCTGTCAGATATTTACCAGGTGGGTACTTTGATTTTATTTAATTTTATTTGTACAAATTGTTTTTGTTTTATTGAGAAACAACATATATATGCAAATTGTTAATTTCACGTATGCATTTTGTTATTTATTTAGTTATCTAAGACCAAATTTAAAGCCAGTACATTTTACTCAAATCTTGGTTTTAATTTACTGACAAACTAGCCAATATTTTACCTTACACAAATTATTTCACACTGTTATTTCTAATTCAGTGGTTATAATCAATAAAAAAAGGGATTTCAGGCTCTTGAAGTATGTAATATTTTCATTTGTTTGTTGGGTTATGTGCATCTCACAAATCGTCTTTTGATCTATCCTCCTGGTTTAACTGTCATATTCTATAAAAAATAACTTTTGATGAATAAATAATGCAGCTTTTCTCTCATGGGCCACTATTAATTAACAAATGCTAAATTATGTACACTGTCTAGTGTAGTGACAAAGCTACTGTGTGCTCTGTAACATCTGGTTTGTAGCAGATGTGCATCTTGCTGATGGTTATTTGTCCTTATTGTGATGTGCTTCAGTTTTGTTTACTTACCTGTTTCGCATTGGTTAACATCCTGACTTTATTTGTTGTAATACTTCTCATCTGGCTAATAAAGTTGCATCAGTTGGCTTGTTTTCATCTACTTCCTGCTGTGAACTAAAGGTCATGTGTAGTAAATAACCTTTACATGCACTGTCAGTAAAGGCACTGTGTTGTTTCTGTGAGACTGGATGAAATCTTTTAGAGGAAAGAGTTCAAAAATAGACGAAGCATCTTTATCATGACGTCCATCAAACAGGAGAGCAGTCGTGTACAGAGCTGAGGTGTACATACGACATTTGCTAAGTGTCTAGTAGACTGTCCACTCAAACTGCTAATTCAAACTTGTTTGCCGACGTCTTTCTTATTAATGTCAAAGAGGAATGTGTCGGTCTTTAGACGCCAATCACAAGTGTCTGCAGTTGTATTCGTATATTCAGAGATACAATAGTCTGGACTTGCAGGTAATAAAACCATTAAATCTTGTGTTCACTTTTCTTGGCAAATTCATTCAACCTTTATTTATACAAGTTAGTCTCATTGAACTCCGGGGACTCATTTACAAGAGAGACCTGTTTTTAACAAAGAATGATGACAACAGTAGACAATCATAAAAGAAGGCATGTGAATTGAGAAGAACAAATGAAAGAAAATGTTACTAAATAAACTAAACAAAAACTGCTAGGTTGTAAAGCGATGTGGAAAACTAAAAACAGGAACAGGTCTGCGTTGGTTTTTGCCATGAACTTAGCAGATGTTTAAAGTCACTTAGAGAGGTCAAGGTTGAGAGCTTCAGATCTTTTATATTCCAGGAAACAGGAGCAGAGTAGGAAAAGTCCCTTTTGCCTAGTTCAGTTCTCACTGAGGGGACACTGCCGGTAATAATGTCCCGAAGCGCACGCTGTAGCTGCGCTCACGCAGAGACATGTAGGAGGAGATGTATGAAGAAGTGATTTAAAGATGAAAATGTACCAGTGAGAGAGTCTGCATGAAGTTAATGATGACCAGTTAACCAGTGAATACAGGGTGCAGTGGTGGGTATGGTAGTTACAGCCAGTTATGAATCTTAGCGCACCGTGATAGACAGAAATGAAGCTGTTCACCCTCCTGCACTACAGAACTTTTTGTATTCTTATATTTGCTGAGCTTTGTGGATTTAGGAACCTTTTGTTATATTAACTCCCTAGCTGCTGTAGCTGAGGAAAACAGTGGAGATTATGCCTCACATGTTGAAACTGGTGTGTAGAATTAGAGATTCAAGTTGATAAAAAGACGCGGTAATAAATTAACTTCAGTAATCCTGCTGAAGCCTGGAAGCTCTTCAAACTATAACATTCTTTTAATAGTAAATCATTCTTTTTAAAATAGCAGTTTTCTGATCCACTACCTTATGTTATTTTAATTTATAATTGTTGTTTTATTTATTGCCAGATTAAGAGGTCCACTTGTGCATGCTTCATGTTTTCTGTGACATTTTTTTAGCTTTCCCTCAGTTAATGTGCTTTGAAATGAAATCTCTTTAAGTGTAGGGCGTCTAGATGTCTGCAAATCAATAGTACAAGAAAGTGTACACGATGATCCTGTCTTTAAATATTTTAATCCCTCAGATCTTTTAATTTTCTTTCTTAACAGCCACCGTTGTAATAGTCGTCGTCTTTCAACCTTAACAAGCCCTAACACAAGTGGTTGGTTGTTGCACTTATTGCAGAATTCTGTAGATGTTTCTAAGATGTTTATAGATTTAAAGCTTCTTTTTGACACATGATTATTATTTATGCTGGATTTAATTATGGAAACCAATAAGATTAGTTTATTTATAGTTTAAAGCCACATCATTTTGGGTACAGTTGCCAACAAAACAACAATTTACATAGACTTTCCACTTCCATCAAGGTAGAAGCCAAACAATAGTGTTTATTTTCCATTATTTTGCTTCCTTACTTAAGAATCGCACCAACAAATGTAACATATGGCAGATGGATAGAATAAAAACCCATGTGATTTTTGGAGTGTATCATAAACGTTGGCAGATAATGCACTCTTCAATGCTTTACTTTTTATATAGGTGTTACTGCATTTATTTGTCTTGAATGTTTAATCACTTTGAAACTAATTTCTCAACAGAAAAAAAAAAAGAAAATGTTAGAAAAACATGACCACAGTCTTCCTTATTTGGGTTGTCTGTGAGTGTTTGATATGAATTATATTAACCCGGGTCAGACGTTTAACACACGGAGCAGATCGTTTTATCCTCACTTTAGATATTTATCACACGGATTTGATCCCATCAGCTTGTCATGACCCGGCTCCGTGTTTGTTTACAGCCGTCTTAAGGAGCTAACCTTCCAGTCAGCTGCAGGCCTCTGCTGTCAATGCAACAGACTGATTTTGTTCGGAGTTTATCTCGTGCATTCGTATTTTTATTATCGCCCACTCTTCTACCCGATCACTCCGTGGTTTGTGTTTCTCTAGCTTCAAAGCTTCTCAAGTCTTTCTCATCCTCCTAATAATCCTTCGCTTTGGCCTTTTAGCTCTTGACTACTTTGCATTTTGAACCTTCTCCACAATCCTGTAACATTTGTCACTTCTCTGTTCTCCTTCACCTGCCCTAAAGCACAGTGGGTCTTGGAGATCTGAGGTCCTTTATCTCCTAAGCATGTACATTTGGTTAAAACTCCCTGTGCTACCTTTGGTATTAGACTGAAATGACACATCCTGCATGCTAAATGAACTAAACTGTAGCAGCAGAAGGTATGTCAATGACACAGAGAAAGAGAATGACAATATAGCAGATTGCTTCAGTTTTACAAGTGCTGCAATCTCAGAATGTTAATCCTTTTTTTCCCCTTATAAAACTCAAAGTCAAGATCTCATTTCCTGCAGGACTTCTAACTGTTAATGTCATGTTTATATCATGTAATGGCCTTTTAGCATTTCTTCTCACTGATGACATAAGTTCATAAAACAAAATCTCCAAGAGCTGATAAATCTCCCAAGTTTAGGAAATGCAAATATTTTGTATAAATTGTTCAATTGTGAACACATAATTACTATTGTTTTGTTTTAGTGTTGCAATTTATTCTGTGTGGAGATAGTACAAACTTAGCATCTATTACTACAGTCTAAAGCTGAAGTGATGCTGCAAAAAAACAAACAAATTCAATAAATCATTACACATCTTTCTTTCATTATGTTGGTCATTTATCATGGGTGTAACGATGGTTTATATTTAATTTTTGACATTTTTTTCATCAGGCTTGTCTTTTAACATCTATTATTCCAAATTAATTACATTCAGTGCATGGAAACAGGAAAGACTGAGCAGCCGGTTTATTTTAGAAATTGTCTAAATAGCTTGTTCAGCCTAATTTGTTAGCACGAGCCTCTGCCTGAAAACTAGACTGGACCACAGGCTCTATCACCTTGCTTTTGATGAGCTTTATAAAATCGTTCAGCCATTTTCCAATTAATAACTCGAGAAGTCTATCACGTTAGAGAGCTCGTCTTGTAGTGTTCCCACCAAGAAATTCAAGAAAATCCCTTTTCCTTCCATCATCAGAATCTTTTCTGATTTACCCTTTCACTAGAAAAATATAGTTGGAACATATGAGAGCTTAGTTATGGTGACTGAGTGGAAAAACTCATATTCTCGAGTTTATTGTTCTACTGCTTATTGTTTATTGTTCTATATATGGATTTATTTCCTGGTAAAAAATAAAAGTTTAAATAAATATTGCATGTTCCACAATATATGATGAAGGAAGTTAGACAAAAGTAAGAATGAAAACAAAATGTACACGCAAAATAACCTCTCTGTTAAAGCTAAGACCGATTGGAATATTACATTCCTTAACATGTCTGAACCGTATTGCAAAATTATATATATATATATATATAAAAAAAAAAGGTTATTCTGATTACCACCGAGATTTTAAGGGTTCTTCTTACTTCGTCCTTGTTCTGCACCTTTCGGTTTGCTTACGGTTCCCAACCCTGATCCTTGAGGAACACTATCCTGCATGTTTTAGTTGCTTCCCTGCTATGACACACCTGATTTAAATGAATTGGTGATTAACAGGCTTCTGCAGAACTTGAGGAAGTAATTAAATCACTGAATCAGCTGTGTTGGTTCAGGGAAACAACTGTAGTGAACCAGGTCTGACCCTGAAGACCTCAAATCTACCAGATGGACAGAGACTGTTATTTTCATTGATCTGAATAAGTCTGGGCCATCTGATGACTTTCTTTCTTGAATTAATCAAGCAGAAAAGACAATTCTTTATAATCATTACTGTCTTACAAATGTTTTGATAATCAAATTGTGTTAGTTCACTCAATGCTTTACAGGTTGAAAAGAACTACTCATTTTTATTTTACATAAACAGTAAGTAATGATTTTTATTCCTCATTCAGAGAAGAAATCACCTGAATAAGCATTCCTTGATTTTCT